GGGGGGGGGGGGGGGGGGGAGGGAACCACAACAACAACAACTTGAGGCGCCAGGAGAATTCTAACTCAGATTAGAATGACTCCAAAGTCACCTTGTCTTGACCGTTTGATTCCTCTCAGCAGGGCAGGAGGCCTGTAGCACTCTCAGCTCCTCGGGAGGCTGAGATCCGAGTATCCAAGATGGAAGCCAGGCCAGGCAGACAAATTCGGGACATTTTAAATATCCAATTAGCCAGCAAAGGACAACAAGCAGAGGCATGGCTCAAGTGGTAGAACACCTACCTGGAGGGGAAAAGCTTAGGGACAGCGCCCAGACTGAGTTCAAGGCCCAGGACAGGCACGCACGCGCGTGCACGCACACACACATACACACACGCACGCACGCGCGCACACACGCACGCACGCGCGCACACACGCACACACGCGCACGCATACACACACACGCGCGCGCGCACACACCCCTCCATTTGCCACGACCTCTCTACCCCCGCCCATCCATTATATGGAAACGAAAAGCCGCCAAGGAAGCACTTTCCAGGGAGACTCAGCCGCCGGGGGCGGGGAGGATGCTCGGGCCCGACGGCGCGTACGGAAAAAGCCCGGGCGCTCAGTTTCCTCAGAAGAACCAGGGGGCTGCCATTCCTCTCCCTAACAACTACAGGAGAAGCCGGAGACATGGGGAGGGCGGGGAGGGCTTCGTTTTTCATTTTAGGGAATCTGGAAAAAGGCAGCCGTTCCTGAGGAATAAACACCCTTTCCTTCTTTTCACTACGTTAGCCACCACAGGCCAGCCCTGAGACCCTTTCGTAGAAGCTTCCGGTCTCTCCACGAGTTTTTCTCCGCCCCAACAGAGGCGAGGACAAGTTGGGCCCTTCTTATTGGCTAAATTCCCTGTCAGTCATTCCGCGATGCCTCAGAGTAGTGCGTTTCTGAAATCCTCGAGTCCTGCCTCCCTGACCCACACGGTTCGTTCCAACCGGCGAGCTTCCTCAAGCTTCTCATTGGTGCATGTAAAAGTCCCATTGCGATTGGTTCTTCTAGTCTAAGCCCGGTGAGAGCGAGCCAGTGATTGGCTCATCTGATTTGGGCGGGCAGAAGAGGTTTCAAATGAAACGAGAGGCGCTCTTTTTAACCGACGCGCGGCGGCTGTGGAGAAGAGCGGTCCGGAGTCGCGTCATCCCTTGGTGTAGCAGTGGGTTTCGTAGTTTTGTGGGGGTTTTTCGGGGTTCTTGGGCCTCTTTACGACCGTCACCATGGAGGTGTCGCCGCTGCAGGTACAGCTCGCGGCAGGGGTCGGGTGGTGGCGCCTCGGTGGGTCTCTCCGCGGGTGAGGGGAGAGACTCGCGGGATCCGCGACGGGCCGGGAACCTGTATTGCGTGCGGGCCTCGCGTGTCCCGGGCCGGGCCGTGTGGGGGTCGCCGAGTGGGTGAAGCCCCTTCCGGTGTGAAGTACAGTGAAGTACAATTGCTGAATGGGGATATTGAGTGCGGTTTTGCTGTTTCTTGTTCCTCCGGGGAGGGGTTCAGTTGGTCCCCTAGCAGGCTGTGAACCTGGGGGTTGACTGTCGCCCATCTTGGAAGTTTGCGAGGCTGTGGCGCAGTGTCCCCGCTGAGCACCCGGCGAACCCCAGGGGTCCGGGAAACGGCCCTCCTGCAAGTTAGTAGCACCCCCCCCCCGACTCCCCCTGCACTCACGTCGGCTACCCAGCAGAGATTTTTTTTTTCCCCTAATGCCTTTATTTCGCCGGGCGCTGGTGGTTTGCGCCTCTAGTTTTAGCTACTCAGGAGGCCGAGGTCAGCCTGGACAGGAAGGCCTGTGAGATGCATTACTATAGCCACCAAAAGCCGAAAGTCAATGATAAGAGTACCAGCCTTGAGTGAAAAAGCTCAGGGATAGTACCCAGTAAGAGTCCCAGTAAGAGCCTGCGTGCACACACACACACACACAGTCTTTATTTCAAACAGACACCTGGGAGCCTGGCTCCAGTGAACCTCAAATTCCTGATTTTTCAAAACTATATGAACTTCACCAATACTTCCAGGTTGCAAATCCTGAGGTAGTGTGTTGGAGGGCATCAGCATAGTAAGAGTCTTGACTATCACTTCTGATTAACTTATGGTTTTAAAAAAAAATCTTTCTTTTTAATGTCTAGCCTTTAAGTGAAAATATGCAAATGAACAAAAAGAAAAATGAAGATGCTAAGAAAAGACTGTCTATTGAAAGGATCTATCAAAAGAAAACACAATTGGAACATATTTTGCTCCGCCCAGACACCTACATTGGATCTGTGGAATTAGTGACCCAGGTAAAAAATCAAGCTAGTTAAATGTAATTTAACTTAATAGCTGAAATACTCTGCCAGGTTAGTTTTCTTTACTTTGTGCATTGATGTCACTGGAACTGGCCTATCCTCACTCACACACACACACACACACACACATTGTAGTATTTTGGAAATTTTACAGTAATGACAAAATAATAAATATAGCATAAAATAATCATTTCTTTGCCTCATTCTAGCATTTGTGGGTTTATGATGAAGAAATTGGCATTAACTATAGAGAAGTCACTTTTGTTCCTGGTTTGTACAAAATCTTTGATGAGATTCTAGGTAAGTTCATGCATATAAAAATCCTTAAGAATATCATTTATACCAAAACTTCTAACAAGAGCTCCTGACTGGGAATATCTAGCATGCATGCTAGATGCATGAAGCCCTGGGTTCAATTCCTCAGTACCACATAAACAAAAAGCCAGAAGTGGCACTATGGCTCAAGAGGTAGAGTGCTAGCCTTGAGCAAAAAGAAGTTCAGAGACAGTGCCCAGGTGGAGTTCAAGCCCCAGGACTGGCAAAAAAAAAAAAAAATTCTGTCATTTTATACAATTAGTTGTTGAATAAGGAAGTCAGCCAGGCATAAATGGCTCATACTTATAACCCTAGCTACTCAGGAGGCTGAGATTTAAGAATCCTGGCTCATAGCCAACCCAGGTAGACAAATCTATCAGACTCTTAAACTCCAATTAACTAGCAAAATCCTGGAACTGGAGATGTGTCTCCAGTGATAGCTGTGACCAAAAAAACCTAAGCCTAAGTTCAAGTCCTAGTACCAGCACTACCACTGTTATCCCTCCTACCCCCTGCCCAAAGTGAGCCAGTCTACTGCAGTCCAAGAAGTTAAATTTTTCCATATAAATCTTTCTATAAAATTGGTAATTTTTAACACCTTATTAATGCTACTTTATTATTAGGGAATATTTTCCTTATGCTGTAGAGTTTGTGTTTTAAAACATTTTCATTTTTCTTTCAGTTAATGCTGCCGATAATAAGCAAAGGGACCCCAAAATGTCTTGTATTAGAGTCACAATTGACCCGTATGTATTAGTATTTCGTTTATTATAGTTCATTGTTATTGTTGTAGTTACTTCGACTTGAGGAAAAATGGCTATTTTTGTAAGATATAAGAATACAGAAAAGGAGAATGCTAAAATGATTAGTCTGTAGGCACTTGCCACCAAGTTCTAACTGGTTAATATTCTCATATTTAATCTCATTTGTTTCCAGAATTATTTCAAAATAATGTGCAGATATGATGACAAGGCCTAAATAATATGGGCAGCATCTCTAGAAATTGAGCTTGAATAAAAAAGCATTCAGGAATCTATAGAGTTTAAGCTTTTTTTTCATGTTATTCAAACAGTAAGCCAGCAGGTGGTGGTAAAGAATAATGTGATCTAGCATTTCTGGTTTTAAATGCTAGTGTTTACTGGTGAGTGGTCAGATGACTTGTTTCACCTTTTTCAGTAGCCTCGTCAGTTAGAATAAACTATGATCAAGACTGAATATGTGTCAGTGATGGTTAATATACTGAAATGCTCCTGAGGACCCAATATCATCTTTCAAGAAATATTTTGCTGGCTGGGCACTGATGACTCAATCCTACCTACTCAGGAGGCTGAGATCTGAGGATCACCATTCAAAGCCAGCCCAGGCAGGAAAGTCCATGAGACTCTTATCTCCAGTTAACCAACAGAAAACGGCAAGTGGCACTGTGGCTCAAGTTGTAGAGCACTCACCTTGAGCTAAAGAGCTGAGGGACAGTGCCCAGTCCAGAGTTCAAGCCCCATGAATGACCAAACGAAAAAAATATTGAGCTAATTTTAATTGTTCTTTTCATAGATAATATTAATCAACATTGCTATTTGAAATAAGAACTATAGCGTGTGCCCTATCAAAACTAAAATGTATTGTTGTCTAAGACTAAAATATCCTAGAGACAAGTCCAAGTAAGATTCCAGCATTTTATTAGCAAGTCAGGCAGCTCATAATGGATAATATTCTTCCTTTTATCTATTTTTGCAAAATGAATTTTTGGATAGGAAAGGTAAAGGAACTAGGGATATTGGCAGATGGTACTATTAGACTTGTTCTAGTATTTTTCCAACTTTTGTCCTTTCCGTTGAGCATAATTTCCTTTGTTTATCCCAACATTTAAAATTTTGTTTTTTGGTTTTTTTTTTCAACATTATCAGTGCCTACCCAGGTGTTGGAAAAGGTTTCTTCCCACACCCTCTCCTGGTTCCTATTTCAGTAGTGTCAGGAACTAAGCATGGTGGAAAAGACTGTAAGCAAAAATACATATGAAAAGAGTCATAATAAAATTGAGGCTTGTGAATTTAGGTATGCTAGAAATAATAGTATTTAAATATTTTAAAATATTAAACAGTTTAGCAGTTTCTATATAATAAATTTTCCATCTTTTTTAGGGAAAACAATTTAATTAGTATATGGAATAATGGAAAAGGAATTCCTGTTGTTGAACATAAAGTTGAAAAGATGTATGTTCCTGCTCTCATATTTGGACATCTCTTAACTTCCAGTAACTATGACGATGATGAAAAGAAAGTAACAGGTACAGTCTATTGAAAGAAACTAAGAGCTTATTTGCTGCTGTAAAAAAAAAATTTGTTTAATGTCTATCTATGGCACAAGGGTTAATATACAGGGGAAAAGCCAGGCGCTGGTGGCTCATGCCTGTAATCCTGGCTACTCAGGAGGCTGAGGTCTGAGGATCACAGTTCAAAGGCAGCCCTAGCAGGAGAGTCCGTGAGACTTTTATCTCCAATAAGCCACTCAAAACAGGAAGTGGTGCTGTGGCTTAAGTGGTAGAGTGCTAGCCTTCAGCTGAAGAGCTGAGGGACAGCTCCCAGACCCAGAGTTCAAGCCCCATGACCAACAAAAAAAAGCAAACAAAATACAGGGGGAAAAGAAACCTTCTAAATAAAGTATGGAACTCAGCCTGTATAATTGAATAGCCTTGCCAGTGATTAAGAAATAAAGCCAGTGGCTCATGCATATAATCCTAACAACTCAGGAAACTGAGATGTAGAGGATCCAAAGTTTAAAGGTAGTATAGGCAAGAAAGTCCACAATACTCCCATCTCCAAAATAACCAAGCATTTGGGGTTGGAGGCATGGCTCAGGTGGTAGGGTTCATGCCAATGAGTAGAAAGCAAGTTCCAATTCAAGCCCTGCCTAGGACTAAAGAGAAAAAAACAAAATAACCACTCATGGCTCAAGTCAGAGAATAATAGATGAGCAAACAAGCTGAGCAGGCACAAGGCCCTGGCTTCAAACCCCAGTAGCAGAAATTTTAAAAAAGAGAGAAAAAGAAGAAAATGAAGCTGTTAATGAGATAACAAATGTATATCTATATCTATCTATATATATGGTAACAAAAATATTTACTTGTTCAGGTGGTCGAAATGGCTATGGAGCCAAATTGTGTAACATATTCAGTACCAAATTTACTGTGGAAACAGCCAGTAGAGAGTACAAGAAAATGTTCAAACAGGCAAGTAAATAGATATTTTGTACCTTGATTATAAACTACTGTAGCTACTTATGTCATTAATGGTTGTTTAACACTTTTAAGCTATTAAATGAGAAATAGCTCATGGCATATCCTAGGTTATATTTAAGAATTTCACATTTGTATTTTTTTATGTTTTCTATTCTTCCATAGACATGGATGAATAACATGGGGAAAGCTGGTGAGATGGAGCTCAAGCCCTTTAGTGGAGAAGATTACACATGCATCACCTTCCAGCCTGATTTATCCAAGTTCAAAATGCAAAACCTAGATAAAGATATTGTTGCACTAATGGTTAGAAGAGCATATGATATTGCCGGATCAACTAAAGATGTCAAAGTCTTTCTTAATGGAAATAAGCTTCCAGTGAGTATTATCTGATGCTAGGGCTTAAATTCAGGGCCTGAGCACTGTCCCTTAGCTTTTTTGCTCAAGGATGGCACTCTACCACTTGAGCCACACCTCTACTTCTGACTGTCAGATCTATTCTGCATAGGCTGGGTTCAAACCTTAATCCTCAGATATCAGCCTCCTGAGTAATTAGGATTATGGTGTGATACACCAGCACTTGTAGTTTCTTTTCTTTTTTGCCAGTCCTGAGGCTTGAACTCATGGCCTGGGCACTGTTACTGAGCTGCTTTTGCTCAAGGTTAACACTATACCACTTGAGTTACAACACAACATCCAGCTTTTTTCTGTTTGTGTGGTACTAAGGAATTGAACCCAGGGCTTCATGCATGCTAGGCAAACACTCTACCACTAAGCCACATTCCTAGCCCTGGTCATTTTTCTTATCATTTCTCAGATAAGTTTCTGAAAAGAAATTAATACCAGATTTCTTTTTTTTGGGGGGTGGTCCGGTCGTAGGGCCTGAACTTACTAAAATTTTCCTCAGAGAAACACTTTTGTGCACTTTAAATGAACATTAGCCTGTCAGTGAGCATCATTTCATTAGTTTCAAAAATTCTTCATCTATTTTTTTGCTCTATTTTTATGAGTGTTTTTTCTTTTTAATATCATTATGTTGAACTCCTCTACAGGTGAAAGGATTCCGTAGCTATGTGGATATGTATCTGAAGGATAAGTTAGATGAAACTGGCAACCCATTGAAAGTAATACATGAACAAGTAAACCACAGATGGGAAGTGTGCTTAACAATGAGTGAAAAAGGATTTCAGCAAATTAGCTTTGTCAATAGCATTGCTACTTCCAAGGTAATTTTATAATGTATTCTTACTGTTTTAATAAATAATAATGTTAAACGGAGTTGGGTAATGGAGGTTTCATTTTTTAAGTTTTGATTATTGTAATTTTGAGAACAGTTTTACAGTGTGATAACTTTTCTTCATTAGGGTGGCAGACATGTTGACTATGTAGCTGATCAGATTGTGAGTAAACTTGTTGATGTAGTGAAGAAGAAGAACAAGGGTGGTGTTGCAGTAAAAGCACATCAGGTATGGTATTTTAGCATTTCTTTCTTGTTCTAAAGTCAAGGAAGAGTAAAGCCTATAAGTAAAGCATAGTACATTTTAGTGAGTATGTCAACTTTTATTGCAGGTGAAAAATCACATGTGGATTTTTGTGAATGCCTTAATTGAAAACCCAACTTTTGACTCTCAGACAAAAGAAAACATGACTTTACAAGCCAAGAGCTTTGGGTCAACATGTCAATTAAGTGAAAAATTCATCAAAGCGGTGAGTACTGAGAGGGAAATAACAGAAGTATCTTACATTATTTTTCATTATTTTTCTCAGCTTTGCAGAAATAAGGATTCCTCCCAAACTTTTCTCCAAATCTTCCTAATCTGTTTTTTTTTTCTTGCTTTATTTTTTTTTTTTTTTTGTAACAGGGTGTCCCTATGAAGACCACATTGGTCTTAAACTTACTATGTAAGTTGGAGGCAGGCCTCCAACTTGTTATTCTCTTGCTTTAGCAAACCCAAGTGCAAAACTGAAGGTATATACAGCCACACCAAGTCAAGCCCTAATTTGAAAAGGAAGGGCTTTTTGTTTTGTTTTGTTTTTGTTTTTTAAAAGCCTTTTATTTCACTAGTCTTTCTTAACTTTATAGAGTCCTTAACAATCAGCATGCCTGTAGTTCCCAGGTATATACAAACTGAACTAGTTATCTTCATATTCATTGACCCTCTTTACAAAGAACCTCTTTCTCTCCAATCACAAAACTATTTCCTATCTTAGTTAAAAAGCCACTGGGGCCTAGCTTCTCTTGAAATCTTTCCCTTTTTTTTTTTTGTGCCAGTTCTAGGGCTTAAACTCAGAGACTGAGCATTGTACCTGAGCTGCTTTTTTTGCTCAAAGCTAGTAGTGCTCTACTACTTGAGCCACAGCACCGCTTCCAGCTTTTCCTATGTATGTGGTACTGAGAAATTGAACCCAGAGCTTCATGCATGCTAGGCAATCACTCTACCTCTAAGCCACATTCCCAGCCCTTTCTTGAAATATTTTAATGACTTCTCAAGAAAGCCCAAACTCCATTTTCCTCAGTAAAGCCTTTACTTTCTACCCTTACCTCCAGCTAATAAAATATTGCACCCATACTATTATTATTACTGTTATGCACCAAACATCTTACTTAATCATAATTTGGCATTATGCTTGTAATTTCTTATTATCTGTCTTCCATATTATAACTTCCAACTCCATGTGGACAAAGTTTAATGACTACTTTGCTATAATCATTGTATTTAACTAAAGTCTTCAACAACTAGCTTAGTGTCGACACAATAAAAGAATATAGAAAATACTTACTAAATGGATGAACCAAAAGGAACCACCTTCCTCATGTTAAGGGAAAACCCAACATGGGAATATCGAAAGTTATTATTCTACCTCTTTTTTCAGTCTTTGAATTGTTTATTTTTCTGGGAGCTTGCTTGTATTCTAGATTTGATAGAACTCTTCTTTCCCAATATGAATCTTTTTGTTCTCAGGCAACTGGCTGTGGTATTGTAGAAAGCATACTAAATTGGGTGAAGTTTAAGGCCCAAGTCCAGTTAAACAAGAAGTGTTCAGCTGTAAAACATAACAGAATCAAAGGAATTCCAAAACTTGATGATGCCAATGATGCAGGTACACTTTCAATGCTTTCCATACTTTGCATGGATATTTTTTCCAATTTCCTGTTATTGACCACTTCAGTCATTTTCAATTTGGAGCTGTTATAAGTAATATTGAGATAATTTGGGTAGGGATATAAAAGCAAGAATATTTATACATGGGCTGGGAAGGTGGCTCAGTGGTAGAGCGCTTGCCTTGCATGCCTGAGGCCCTGGGTTTGATTCCTCAGCACCACATAAGCAAAAAGAAAAAAGC